ACTGCTAGTCGATCAGCATGTGCCCTCTTTATCTGTGTTCCTCGATACACTCTTGGAGGCCATAGCCATTTGTATTTCCTTGGATTGTACCATCACTGTTTGTTCTCTCTACCTTCTCCTGGGGAGACTTATGATCAATCGGACCTTGATGCTCTCGTTGTCTAGTTGCAATCTTCCTTTTTACTTCTGGGAGACTTTAATGGACACTGCTGTGATATTGATGGGAGGGGTCGTTCCATAGAGCATATGCTCTCGGATCACAAACTTTCTCATTTCAATACTGGAACATATGCTTATTTTCATGCACCTAGTCAGTCTTTTACTGCCATTGATCTGAGGGAGGTTGGCCATGGTTGATGCCACCAGACCCGAGTGCCATGGTGGAAACTGGAGCAGGCTGACTGGCCATCTTTCACCTCTCTCTCTGAACTTGATTCTGCCTTTGTCTGTCTGCCATCAATAGACTATTGTGTGGTTGCAGTGACTGACTATTTGTAAGGCCCTAGAGACGATGGTTAATGCTCGTCTTGTTTGGTTCCTCGAATCAAACATGAACCTCTCACCCACCCAGTGTGGGTTCCGTCGACAGCACTCCACCATGGATCATCTCATTCGTCTTGAAACATCAATCAGGGAAGCCTTTCTCAAGAGAGAACACCTTGTTTCTGTGTTCCTTGATCTCGAGAAGGCTTATGACACCACGTGAAGGTATGGAATTTTGCAGGACCTCCACTCCTATGAGTTGCATGGCCATTTTTATTCAAAACTTTTTACTAAACAGGCAATTCCAAGTTCGTGTGGGTTCAACTCTTTCCTGTTCCTTTCTACAGGAACTTGGAGTCCCTCAGGGCTATGTCGTGAGTGTCACACTTTTTTGTGTTAAAATTAATGCCATCACTAATAATCTTCCTCCAACTGTTGCAAATGGGCTCTATTTCGACGTCTTCCACATCTCGTGTCAGTTGTCGAACGTGAGGTTTATTGAATGGCAGCTTCAGACTGCCCTCAATCAGTTGTTGACATGGACCACTGCAAACGGTTTTAAATTTCCTCTTTCCAAAACCATTTGCATGCATTTTTACCGCCATCGGGGTCTGTACCCTGATCCCAAGCTCCGTCTCGACGATAGTTATTCGTGTGGTCCCTGAGGCAAAGTTCTTGGGTCTTATCTTTGACCATAAGACCATTTTTCGAGGTATTCCTCTCTTCTTATTTACACGGATGGTTCAAAATCAGGTG